ACGTAGCCACAATTTCAAACTACATTTTTGGTATTTTTGTCAGGATGACAGCCGGATTTCTGTGCAGCTGATAACCGAGGAATGTGTTCGCAAGCTGGACATGAAACAACAAACGAACGCCCTACTGAACCTTGTGTGGAGGGACTCAGCCAGTGAGGAGGTTTTCACCCTGATGGCGTCCATTTGTCACACTCTCATGGTGCAGCATCGTCTAATGGTGCCAAAAGTCAGGTACAGAAACACAAAACGYGTGAGAGGCTTTATTTTTGGATGAAACCACTGAAAGCGGTGCTTAAAGGAAATTTATTGTTAATTCATCAAATGTTGCAGAGATGTAGGTAATCCTTTACAAAGCAGATGTGTCATCGGTCTGTTGTAAATTTGGTGAATCCCRTGGTGAAGCAGGCATTAAATAATAACAAAAATAAATTGGAGGCCTTTTWAAAAAATTATATCAAAACATTTCACACATCTTGTCAAGATCAACCTTGCATCCCATCAGCTTGTTTACACACTTACCTGATTGAAGAGGAAACAGTGTCTTTGTGTTTCTGCGCTGCAAGCAGTGATGTAAATAATGGTAGGCAGGCAGTTATCATCAGTCCACACCCACTGGCATTTACAACCGGTAGAAGATACAGGCATGTCAGGGAAGCTGTCAGTTCTGGATAAGGGAAATTAGCTCTTTTTTTGGTTGATTACATTAGAGCTTGGATGTCAGGGATGGCGTGGGGGCTGGATGGTGCATCGACAAACAGGAAGTGAGCTAGACTGGGCTTCATGGTTGGTGAACCTGCTGGGGTTAATTATTAGTGATGCCAGTAGCTGTCAGATGACTAGTCTGTGAGGTGTAAAAAAGGAAAATAAGACGCATATCAAGTGAACAACGTATTCTGTTAAATAGTTTTTGAATCTGTAGCATACATATTTCCAATTTTCAGCTAAAAACACACTTTTTTTGTCAAATTTAAAGAATTTCAGCCTCTCAGTTGTCTTYTTTTTTTTACAGCTTCCTCCTCTTCTCCACTTTTATCATAAATCCTGCCCTTCGTCTTCCATCATTATTGGATATCTGTACAAAATAATTAGCTCACTGAGAAAGATTAATCACTGCAGGAGTGGATGGGATAGTTTTACAAGAGGCTAAGGGGAGCAAATTGCATCCTGGTCCTGATTTACTGCACTTACAGTAAAAAAAGTAGAGGTTGTGCAGTCAGCCCGCCACACTGCCTTTTTAATAAATATGTAAAATATCTTATTAAGTTGCTCTCTGCTTTCTTTTTTTCCACAGCTGAATTATTTTCGAGTGAACTTCCTAATTCCACCTATCTGCAGAGTTAGATATTTGGTGTAATATTACTTTGATAGTTTGGTTTCACACAACGTGACACTCGGCTCTTAACGGGTTCCTGCTAATTGAAGTGATCTACATTTACTTTTGAGTGATTGCTGTGATTTTTGTTTTGTCATAAAATAACAATGTTTACCATGTTAATTTAAGTTTGTGAAACTAATTAGCATCAAGGTAAAAACCTGCTCAGGCAGTACCAAATCTGACCCGAGTTGTTATTTCTCTCTGCTGATCAGTGGTTCTTTCATCACAGCAGAATGAAATGATTCAGGCATCATTTATCAAGACACTTTTTTTTCCACACACATACACACAACCCCTTCTGATGTCTTGACTTTGTTTATTAGTGATTCATTTCATGATTGAAATGGGAGTTTGGGTTCTCTCTGGCTGTAAATCAGCATGTCAGCTGGCATTTAGTGCTTTGTTTCTCATTTCAATCACACACCCGCATGACTTGTTATGAGCCCCCAGCGCTACTCKCTGCTTCTCTTCTGAGCCTTGTTGCACTGACAGATGGTCTGAGTTCGACACCGACCATTTTTCAAGCCTTACTGAGGTTAGCTTGACAGTCTGCTCCTAATGTTCAATTTCATTTTGGGATTTTTTTTAAATGTAATTTTGGTAGATTGGATGGTGGGATTCTTAACTCTTGATTTGTTTCATCTGTTGAACTTTTCTCCTCTAATGTGATTACATGTTGCTGCTCCATCATGAATCCTTGTAGCTGTCAGAGCTGTCACTCAYGGACAAGACCCTGTTTATATGCAGGGGCACCTTATTTAGCTTTTTAGCTTACTTACCACATTATTGTCACCTGTGTTTACCCATGGTGTGAAAAGCCATGCAATTTAAAAGTATTCACAAATGCACACACATTTGAACACAAAGAAGCTTCACACCTTGGTGCCACAATCCACTGAGTGCGACCATAGGAAGGCATGCGGGTGCTTCTCAGTGTTATCACGTAATTCGCTGTGAGTGTGGAAGCATACTAGTGCTCAGGGGTCACAGCAAGGACCAAGGGTGCCCCTCCTCCTCCATTGTCTTGGTTCCCTGACCATTAAGTTAAATGGGGCTCCAGCAGGAAGCCACGGGAGCTGTTTATGACCTGAGCTGGGCACCCTCGCCAACAACTAGTTTACTAATGGAAGGTGCCTCGCCTAAATAAAGCTTAATGGCTCATTTAATCTCCCTTTGGTTCTCGCAAAGTGTAAAAGGAGAGAAAGGCCAAGAAAATTCTATAACAGAAATGTTGGTTTACAGTGGTGTTTACTCCCCTCCCTCCTTTCATTCTTTTTTTTTTTCTTTTTTGAGTGCGTGTCCTCTTGTAAACYGGGCAAAGTTAACAATCTCAACATTGCAGACAGTTTGGCTGAGAGTAATTTTATTGCTTCTCGCACTGGCTGCATCGTTTGAAATAGCTGAWAAGTATTTCATATTGATCCATGTTGAGGAGCGTTCAATCAAAACGAATATTTCTGTTTTATGTGTCTTTGTGGCCGCAGACTTCTGTACAGTTTAGCTTTCAATGCACGTTTCCTGAGGCATCTCTGGCACCTGATAACATCCATGAAAACTAAAATGATTACTGGGTGAGTTTTTATGTTAATATTCTTTAAATATTTTTTATTTTGCTTTCAACAAGTTTTATGTCTTCAGACATTTATGTTTCTTAAACTTGGTTTCTACTTTTCTGTGTTTGCCTCTTCAGCTCCATGGTGCCACTGCTACAGCTGATCTCACGAGGGTCTCCTATGTCRTTTGAAGACTCGAACCGCATCATTCCCCTCTTCTATCTCTTCAGTTCTCTCTTCAGTCATTCTCTTATCTCGGTGCATGACAGTGAATTTTTTGGGCATGAAATGGAAGGTACTGGWCTTATCTATTAAGCTTGATTTTGCAGATATACAGTTTACTGTAAATAGCTGCTAACATCTCCTGCGTCAGTGTGTGTTTGAAGACTGAACATGTTCTCCCTCTGAACAGGTCATGTACAGTCCTCCATGATGCCCTTCACGTTGTTAGAACTGGTGACGCTGTCTCGCTGTCTGAGAGATGCGTGTCTGGGAATCATCAAGCTGGCCTATCCCGAGACCAAAGCGGAGCACAGAGAGGAGTACATGGCTGCCTTCCGCAGCGTTGGCGTCAAGACAAACACTGAGGTCCAGCAGCGCATCCAGGCCGAGCAGAAACGCTGGGTGCAGCTCTTCAAGGTAAGATGTGTGATGCTGCTTTACCATGCATGGATTCTCTTGTTACTCAGTTGATTTTTATTTCCTTCTTTAGTCCAACTTATTAAAACTGAAACATCATTGAATGAAAAAACTTAGCAACATTTAAATGAAAGCAAAATTTTCTTTTGATATATTTTCCCAGTGTTACTTTAAACTAGATGGACCCAGTAGTCTTTGTTTATAGTTTCAAAAGCTCTGTTGTTTAGCACCCAGCTTTATTAGTTCTCAATGTTAACTGTAAAACATTCAGTTTAATCTTTTCAATTACATTAAAAAACTTTTAAGTTTTTTTTGCAAATTATCTTACCTTCCTATTTTCTTTCTTTACAGTTTTATAAAATATGGCATATTAAGTAACCTGCATTTAACCAAAACACACTTGCATCTGTCAAATAAATAATAATAATTATACAATGATGAATTGTTAGTATTTAGACTGCATGAGGACATCTTATTAAATTATTTTACTGAATCCTAGCTTGTTTATGTCTAAACCCAAATTCCTTACTGGGTCTCTTCAAACACTACTTTATGGAGATTTAGATTTTAAAAAGTCTGTATTGAGCAACTTTTACATAGGAGAAAAAAATGAACAATATTGCAACAAATGGGTGTAAAAAATCTAAATATTTTACCTTGTTTTTAGGTACTATGGATAAAAATCTAAAATTTACTCAAAAAAATTAAATCACTAAATAAGTGTTTGAGAGCTTAAAACAGATGGGTCAGTATGAGGGAACTTCCTGCATTAGAGCTTAGAGATTGTATTGTTTTCTATTGATACCTAAGTGTGTACACTTTGATCATTAGGCCTAATTGTTGTGTGGTCTCTGTGCATTAAGGCAGAGTAGGTGTAATGATTATTGCTGTTAGTGGAAGTCGGCTATATATGCATGAGCGGTCAAAAACAAGATGGAGCCCACAGAGGTCAGTCTTTGGGTTATTTACTCAGGTAATTGGACAGAAAACCTAATTCCTGTCTCATCCTTCRTCTTTCTTTTATTTTGTCTTGTTTCTTTCTATGTAAGAAAACAACACTAAAGTTATTTTGTTCTTGTCTGTTAAGGGGATTTAAAAAGTGAACACTAACATCCTGCAATAGGTGGTGAATACACAAGGAGCACGTTGGGAGTTTTTCATAAAAGATCTGCTCAAAGGCCTCTTGTCAGCTAAAACGACCCATTAAAGAAGTGAGGAGCAGAGAAAATGCATTTTCCAAATTGAACAGTGGGATTTACAGTTGGTTTAACGCCGCTGACCCCTAACACGTTAATGTTTGGTTCGTGTCATCAGCCGTCCCTCTCCATCTTTTATCACCTCCATTGTCGAGCTATCTATTTAATTGAAAGAAGTTAATTGAATGAAAATGATCAACTAAGCTTGTATTAATATTGCTAATGGAACTTTCTTCTTGGCCATGTTTGGAGAACGGTGTCACACTGGAGTTTGGGAAAGGCCCATTAAGGTTTGCACTTAACCCGATGGGCTAATTAAGGAATGCTTATTCATTCCCAGAGTCAGAGGGTAGGTCTGCTCCAAACCCATCTCCATGTACATTTGACAGCATTTTGCACTTGCCATTATTGCACACTTTGGTTGCCTCCTGGTGATTGGCCGTGATTGATTGTCACTTTATGAAAATGACATGTCTTAGAGAAGTACATTTCGATTGAAATAATCYAGCTAGGGTATTATATGGAAATGGACTGGCTGTAAGTTTATTCACATCAATGACATATGTGACATTATTCAAAGTAACTTGYCATAGCAACAAGGCAGCCTATTGTGACCAAACAAAAGCTGCTGAAACATTACCCACGTTTGTTCACTTTTTCACTTTTTACTGACATTTAGGTACAGGGGTTGTTTTCTGTTCTGCTGACAYWSTKTKTGWRAMMSA